CTTCTCCCCACCACCCCAGAGCCGGCAGCCCAGCGGGCCCCAGTGCAGGGCTGGACGACCCTCACATCGTCCTGGGGTTTTGGGAACCTCACACTGGACTCTGGGACTCTCACACTGTTCTGAGGCTCTGGGACCCTCACCCTGTTCTGGGGCTAAGGGACCCCCTCATACCATCCTGGAGCTGTGGGACCCTTACGCTGGGCTGTGGGACCCCCTCACACTGTCCTGGGACTGTGGGACTCCTCATACCCCTGGGGCTGTGGGAACAGGTCAGTGGGGTACAGCTCTGCATCCCCCTGCACCCCACTCTGCACGACACAAAGCCCCCTCTCACCCAGAGCAGCTCTGCAGACGTGGACACTGACCTGCACAGCAATGAAGTCAACAGCCCCAGCTCCTCCAGACGGGACAGCCACCATGCCCTGCTGCTCCTGGAGAAGAAGGTCATGGCCTCTACTCCCTCTCACCCCTCCAGGCCTCACTGGCATGCCCCCCGGGATGGGGCCCACAGTCCCCTCTGGCACAAGGAGAGGGTTTGTTCTGTGTCTGGCTGCTGGTGGACGTGTCTTGGAAAAGCAGACAGAGATTCCCCCTCCTCTGAAGCGATTGGCAGCGAGACCTGCAGGTGAAAGGAGACTGGAGGAGTGTCTTGTGCTAACACTCAGGTCTCAGTTCCCCAGAGTCCTTAAACCATTGCTTGTCTTCAGCCCTTAGGTCTTCAGCCCCCTGGATCAGGATGTGGGGGCCAGGGCTCTCTCCAGGGGAGTGGGAAGCAAATGGTCAGGGAGGAGGCACCCATCAGTTCTTGGGTCCCCTTTGACGTGAATGGTTGCACCTCCATCCTGACCTCAGGGCACAGGTGCCATGTCCCATCTGCAAGGCAGCAGTGTTTTGGAAAGATGCAGGCATCGTCGGCCATGGACTTAACCTGGACTTAGATGTTGTTCCGACAAAATCCAGGGAGACCAAGGGTAAATTATTAGAAATGGGTGAAGTGCTGACGTGTGACCTCCCAGCACTGGGGACAAGGCAAAGGTTTTGCAACATTTAGCAGCCCGATCCCCTCTTCAGCGCTTCTCACGTTGAGTCCAGCAGCACTGGGTTCATTAGCAATAGCAGGTGAGATGGTGTCCTCTGTGGGAATGTGTGGGATGCTGGGCCGAGTCTATAAGCTCAGAATTGGAATTTAGGGCGGCATTAGACATACCTGGACCTTCACGCACTGAGTAGTTCCCTTTGGCGCTCTGCTCCTGGGCAGCCAGGCTTTTTGTCATTAGTACCCAGCCAGCACCACCTGAGTTCTCTCCCCTCACCTTAATTTGGTCGGAAAACTTAAGCATTGTGATCTCAGCAGCTTCTCAGTTTAAATCGGAGTTTCATAACATGGGGCTGCAAAATTCACCCTCTTGACAGTTTCTGGCAGAACTGCAGGGCCCTGTGTGTGTGAGTCAGTCTGCCTGAGCAATGAACTCTGCAGCCCCACGGCCGCTTTCAGTGAGAACAGGGGAAAAAAGCTTACCTGGCTTCAGCTCTCAGAGGGGGCTTGCTTGGAAAAGAAAGTCTAATGGAGAACTTGATGCCTGATGGTTTCAGTTACCAGTGCCTCTCACTGAAATACGTCCTTGAGACGGGATCTAGCAATGCTAACAGGTCACAACTGAAGGTTTCTTTCTGCTGTCGTGGGGATGACAGCCTGGCAAGGCAGAGCTTAAGTGTCTTGGCCTCGGTTTGCCATTTCCTAGTCCCTTACCTCAGCGGACTGACAGGAACCTCCAGGTAGCTGCGTGCTGAGGAGATCCTTGTGTGCTGAGGAGATCCTCCCGGCCTGCAAACACTTGTGATGTGCGAGTTTCAAGGCCTCGGGGCAGAGCAGCCACTGTGAGTTATCTCCAGCCTAGAACCAAGCCCCAGGCTGTGCTGGGATGCCTGGTCTGGTCCTGCAGTGCGGATATGCCCTGGACACATGGACGGGTTTCTGCTCATAATCAAGAGACCCAGAGGGGTGCAAACCCTTTACGCTGGAGGGGCTGTGTGCCTGCAAGCACGGAAGCCTGTGCCATGCCTGTGGTTTGCAGGTGACAGGGAGATCATCAGCTTGCCCAGTGAATTCCTGGCAAGAGCCCACTCAAACCAGATGACCACATTGTCGTTGTTTGTCTTATCAGTGTCTTATCAGTTGTTTCGTTATCAGTGTGATGGATCGGGTTTGAGATGCAAGAATGCAAGGGTGTGACTGCTGCCCCTCAGGCCTGCTTCTTACTGTAGTGTAAAATGAATTACAGTCAAGGAGGTGGGATTCTCTGAGTAATTTTTGTCAGACCTATGTTAGAATGATACAAATTTTGGAGCCTCTTTGCTTCGAGGTCACCCTAACCATAGCAAGGGCTGCATCAGGATGTTTCTTTTCCTGAAGTCAGGCATCACATCGGAATTCTTTCATGGTTGGGATAGTGGCTCTAAGGTCTTACGTTTGCTTTTGTAAAGGTAAAACACTTTGAAGAGCTCAAAAAGAAGTCCGAACATTTCCACAAACTTGTAAAGCAGCAGTTTTTGAAAGAACAGGAGGGAAAGATGGCACGGTGGAAGACGGCATCCGAAAAGTTTGCAAAGTCCTTGGAAGTGTTCAATTGCAAAAGCGGGAAGAAGTCGGTCCCTTCCACTGATGGTTCGTCTGCGAGTGAAGCGACGCCCTCAGAACACGCAGCTGCTGCTGGCCGAGAAGCTGGAGCTGGAGGCCAGTCCCAAGTGGTGTTCCC